AAAAGAAGCTGCCAGCAGTTTCCTCCGTGTCTGACAAAAAAACAATCAGTAATTAGTTTTAAGAATTGACAATCTGTTAAACCACTGAGAAAGCTAGACACGCCTCTGTGAATACACATGTTAAAGACGAAAAAACGAGAAGTTCTCTTTCGCTTCTGGCCCTGAGCAGGTAACAAGGCCGGCCCGGCCCCCATATCTCAGCACATGACCCTCTGCAGGCCCCAGGCAAGATACCAGCTCTTTCCGTGCACAAGTAAGGCTTGCAGACCTTCAGTCCTCCCTCAAGTGAGAAAAAAGGACAGGGTGAGAGTACATAGAAGAACAATATGAAACACCAAGGTCAGTGAAGAAAGAGTCAAATACCAGATGGGAGGGATGAAAAAATTACTTGATTTTGAGGCTGAAATACTCTTGTAAAGCTACAGAGAAGAGTGTAATTGATACATCAGACTCCTTCCCTGTGACTTATTGAAAGTATGGGGAGATTAAGTGCTCAAGTTGTAGATATGAGCAAAGGCCTCTATGCTAAAGTAAGCAAATGCTGAAGTAGCTGTGATCCCATGAGAAGTTTGAACAGAGAGAGAGAGAAAAGTGATGAATACTCCCTGCTCCATGGAAAGAAGACCTCTGTTCTCAGAGATGAAGATGATCTCAAAGATAGATAAAGAGAACCTTTGCTCTTGAACAGCTCACCCTTAAAACAGTACCTCATAAGTTGACATGGCCCATAAACGCAGCTGTGGGGAAAGCTGTGAAATATGGGAGGGACTTCACAACTGCAGATTTCCAGGTGGCTACTATTTGTGGAAGTTAAAAGCCAGGAGAGAACAGTTTTCTTGTATAAAAGTCTCCATAAATTAACAAGAGGGACTTTTCTCCCTAAGTGAATTGAAGAAAGACTAAATTGTTTCTGTACGTTGTTAGTGAGAAAGAAAAGGTTGTAGGGGGGAGGAAAAGTGTTCTAAAAGTTTTATTCTGATTCTTATTATTCTTTATTTTCACTACTGTTAATCAAGTTTTCTTTATACCCTTTTCAATTTTTGAGCTTATTTTGCCTTCCTTGTAATCCTGTCTCAGAACAAGAAATAAATAAGTATATTCTAGTGAGTGCACTGGTATTTAACCACTACTAAAACCAACCACACCTACAAACGCTAATTCTCTCCCGAGTCAGAGAAAAGGAAAAAGTGAAGACACATGAGTGTAATGAAAATGTATGACAATGCTAAGGTAGGTGAAAAAGAGGGAGGGAGAGGAGGAGGTGCTCCAAGCCTTGGAGCTAAGATTCTTCTGCAAGCTGTAGTGAGAACTAGAAAACAACAGTTTCCCCGTAATTAATGAAGTGCACAGGGGGAAAGGTGTTCTAAAAGTTTATTTTAGTTCTCATTATCCTCTTTTAATTCTGTTAATGAATTTTTTTCTCTTATGCCTTTTGGAGTTTCGAGCCTGTTTTGCCCTTAAAGTGTTTTCTCCTAATCCTTCCCTCACCACATGAGTTGTTTTTTTTCCCTCCTCTGCTTAACTATAGCTGAAGAAAAATTAATAAATTATTTTTATAGGTGCACTGGGCATTTGGCCAGCATCAACCCATCACACACCTCAAACTCATTTACTAAAGCTCCTCAAGTAGATGTCCCCATATTTGTTTTTTAAAAAGAAAAAATAAATGTTCTGTGTTCTAAAGTGCTGCAAACACAGCTTCCCTGATTGGCCACTTATAGATCTTACCTGGCCTTCTTTCAGTAGAAAAAAAATCCAGAATCAAGCAGAAGAAAGCACTCCATCCCCCATTATTTTGGATGATAGATCCACTTCTGCTAAAGAATCAAGTGCCACAGAGCAAAGAAGGACAATTATCGTAATAGGCTGTGTAACTATTATGAAGTGCAGCTTCATAATTACTGTTTCTCCATCCCTAGGATATGGTTTCCAGACTTCTGCTCCTACATCAGTGATAAAGCGACTACCTATGCTATTTTCAGAATTAGGATCCTACCTCAATTTCTCTCAATGCAGTGAAATCTCTAACATTAACAGAATGCCAAGAAAAACTTAGACTAAGGCCTATAACCAAGCTGCTTGATAGTACCAAAACTGGAATACAGTTGTTTTATTTACTGTGCTGAATTTAAATCCTGAGCACTTTACCAGACCCTCTGGAAACTCACTGAGAGAACATAAACCTCTTTTCCTCCATTACTTTCATATAAAAAAGTTGTTCGCACCGGAAAATTTTAACGAAGAAGAAAAAAAAAAAAACTGGTTCAAGAATGAGACTAGCAAAGAGAATTTCATCTTGAAGTCACTTGGTTCAAAAGCAGGTAGAGCAATAGTGAATAAAAGCTAGAAACCTATTAAAGTTTTCAACTTGTACAAGAATTAATTGTAGTTCTGCAACTATTGGTACACAAAAAACAAAAGGCACAAAGACTGAAATTTTTAAACTATGACAGCATGTTTGTGACTTATGCTGCTAAAAATATTTTCCCCTAATTCTATGGTGAAAATACAGTAATGTTAGTTCTGTGAAAAACATGAATAATCTCTGATCTCATTCCTTTACAACTGTTCATAAGGCACATCACCAACACTTTCCCAATACCTAGCTGTAAAATTGGTAAATATGGATTAGGATGGTAAAATTTCACACAGCAGCTTTCTGTTCTCCCCATGCATTTTCCACAGGGATTTATTTAATACCCTGGGAAATGCAGATATACACCAGGAGCATGGAATTAAGATGATATGGCTGCCTGTGAATATGTCTCAAAATAGGCTGCATTTACAGTATGAAATGACACAGATGAAAGACAAAACAGAGAGCATTTTATTTCTTCGCAAAACTGTTGTGACATACAGAATATCAGACTATATTTGCACAACACCAATTGAAGATTTACTCCTACAGGTTTGAAGCAGCTCAGCACCAGCCAAGTTTCGAAGCATAAGTAACACAGAGATGACATACTTGCACATCCTCATAAATGGCATGTTAAAAAAAAAAGTAGTAGAAAGTCCACATGATATAATTTGGTTTCATTTCAACTACCTCTATTTATTTTGCTGATAGTTTTGTGCATGACAAAGAACACCTGAACTTCCAAATCCACTTCAGTGTTCAAAAACATAGGATAAGTCTTTCCGCACCAAGTGCACTATACAGAGGCAACACAGGATAGGCTGTTTTATCTTCCATGTCCAAATCCAATTCCAGCACAGAAAAATCCAAACTCAGTTCAAATATCAATGAAGCTACGCATTTCAACTTTTATTGTCCTTTTGCTGAGCAAGGAACTTGGGCAAACATTTGTTTCCCCTGTGAACACTACTCAAGCAACCCGGTTGCCACCTTGTGATCTACTGCGTATGAAAAGCTTACAGCGCAGTTTTGGGAATAGCAGTTTTTGAAGCTCACCTACCTACCACTGAGGAAGAGCTGAATTTCACCATTACTTTCTTTTTGCAGCCAGGAGTGTTATTCCATACAAAGAAATACATTTAATGTTTTGGGAAAGCCACATCTGCATACTCTGCTAACACAGTAGCTTTGCAATTGCATTTAATTTATGTAGGAAGCACAGCAGTACTTTTACTTTTTATGTATTCCACACAGATAGAACAGGCACTTCTGGTTAATATTAATAGCTCATTAAACGAAGTATTTAATTTTCACTCAAAACCAGAACATCTTAAAAGAATATTGCAATAATCCATTTTTTTCCTGCATGTCAATCTTCTAATAATGTTTATTATAATGTTAGTTACTAGTCACTTCAAACTTGTTTTTCAAATTAATGTAGGAAAATATTCCATTTAAACTTCAATAAATAATTTACTATGCTCATCCTACTTACTCAAATGGATAAATTACTTGCATTATACATTTCCTCATCAATAAGAACTTCGTACTTGGAATTTATGTAACTTCTCCTTCCATGCTCCCCAAAAGGCCAATTTAATTTAAAGCCATACAGAGGGAAGCAATCTCTCTTCAGACATCCCAGATATGTGAAACAGAATATATTTTTTGTGCATTTTTCTCTCATTTTATATTTTAAAAAATAATCTAGGGTACAATGTTCAGTAATAAAGAAAAGTGGGGTGATTAAAATAATTACTTTGGAAAATGTCAAACAGTAGACAAAAAAAAAGGCAACTCAGACTAAGGTACAGTAGCTACATCTACTTTTCAACCATCCATTTTTCTTACAATGATGATGCCCCTTCAAATGCTACCATCCACAGAACAGCTCACCTCTTCCAGCCCAGTGCTCCACACCCCATGTTAAGAGAACATTTTGATGGAAATACAATATGACAAGGAGCCTTTTTCACCAGATGCTTTATTTACTTGAAATGATTTAATTGCTTTGACTTAATCCAGACTCAACCTACAAGACTAAACCTTGGAATGCACTGAAAAGAGAAAGAAAATATCAAGGCTTTTTAGCTGCCTCTTTTCAAGGCTTACATTTTTTCCTAGCTGTGTTCCTGCTCCGATCAGTTTTCAAAACCCTAAAGAACAAAACCACCACTAGTTTCAGTGGTAAAAGTGTATCAGAGAGGGAAGCATATTTCTAAACCATCAGAAATAGTTTCAGCACTAGATTAACAAGGAATTTCTACAATACTTTTCTCCCTACAAACTCTCAAACTAATCAAGAAACTAAATGAACAAACATATCCCTTTCACAAGGTAACAGTGATCAAAACAGCAAAATATGTTAAGAAGGGGACATATAAAAATAGAAGTGCTAGAATGAAAATATATGCAATACTGATGACTAACACATTCATGTAGCTAACAAAAAAGCAATAATACAGATATCAATAGTGTACTTTTTTAAAAAATACTATTCTAATACCTCTTTGCAGAACATGAACATCTGCACCCATATGTTTTGGTTTTTTTTTGTAGTTTAACAAGCAAACAATTGCAAAATAAAAATTTTCTGCTGTAGTGCAGCATCAAGAAAAGAAACAAAACCACAGTGACACACCTTACATAATCAAGGATCTTTTCTTGGGACATAGCACTCATTTATAATTCCAGGGACATTTGTTCTTGAAAGGGTGCTTCCTGTAAAAAAGTCACATGCTGGATCAGAACAATCTGCTCATAACCTCTGAAGAAAATTAGAATGGAGGAAAAAATTTTAAGCCTTTTATTCTTTGCTAATTAGCTGGCAAAACATAACTATCTGTCTGACAGAAAACAGTTCAACTGAGAAAAGTAAGATTTTATAGCAAAAGATGCATTGCAAGGAAGAAAAATCATTTGGAAATAAATTCAGATTCAGGCTGTACATAATTTCTGGATTTTTTTTTTTTTCCTCCACAGTCTCCAAATAGCCAATAGTCTGATTTACTTTGCTATCTACTTTTTAGACCTCATCAAATGGGACAGTCCAAACATTTAGCTTCAAGTGCTATAAAATAAAATAAAATAAGCCAAGGAAACCACATTGAAATTAGGACTTTTCAGCCAAACAAACCTGCTCAGATCCACCCTCAAATCTAGCTGCATATTTGATGATTAGACAAGCTTGGGATAAGTAATGCAAATATACTTCAGAAAAAAAATATTAAAACCCAAAAACCTATCAAAAAAACACCAAAACCAAATTTTGTTTAAAGCCAAACATACAAAAATAAAATACTGAGTCCAAGACTGAGTAAAATTACTTCACAAAATAAGGAGGTTTTCCCCTAATAATTAAAGGACTATTAGATATACAGCTTCCTCATTGTAGCATGGCATAATATATTGCAGTCTGACTACGGGAAAAGAAAAAGCATGTTATACCCCAAATCAGATATAAGAACATGATAGGAAAGTGCCAACTGTACTGTAGTTACCAGGAAAGAAATGTAATAACATTTCTACAAGTGCCACAAGTTCTACAAATTTTACTAGTAACTACAGCTATCTTTATATTGAAAGAAAGGTCTACTTAACATCTGAACAAATGCACCATCTCTGTTAATTGATACCTTTGCATTTTACACATTCTGACTTAAATAGCTGAGAAGCATTTTACACCAGGGCAGCCTTAGGAACTCAATTTCCTGTGGAACCATTGCTGGAACCAAACTTATATTGATGAGCTTTCAGAAGACATACATTCAAGACAGTCAATTTTTGCAGACTCCCACATTTGAGGCCTGCTATTAAGCTCTACCACCAAGTCTGTGCAAATAAACTTCCTGGCAATTGTTAAAGAGCCTGTCCTTCAAAACAAACCGAGCTGGTAGCAAAACAGCACTAGAATCTTATGCTACAAAATGCTAAAGAATGATACTAAGGGAGTTGCTACATGAAACTGAATTAATATATATTTGATTCTTTGCTAAAATAATGACACAGAAGGGTAAAAACATCAGAAAAAAAATCCATACTTTTTTTACATATCCAATTCAGACAGCGGCATAATTTACCCAAAATCAGAAATTTTAATATTGCATTCGTGTCATGTACCCTCTGGAATAGTTAGTAACAATATTCAATTTTATACAAAGAATTTAAATTAAATTAATTGCAAGAATAATTGTATATGTAAAAATTTTTAGGACTATGGTTAAGATGTCTATGAAGTCCATGCTATAAATACATTTTTAATGGCTAAATCTAAACACAGACTGCAAGAATCAGAATCTCTGATTTTAGAACCACCACCACCATAAAATACATCCCTGATTATTCAAACTCTAGACGATTCAAAAGAAATAATGACAATTTTATGATCACAAGAACTAGGAGTGAAGCCATCAGCTTGATCGTAGCTCTGACCATACTTCAAATAATATAAGCAAGCAATAAGAACATTTACACTTTGTGCTTTTAATTTTGGCTTTACCCGAACAATCTTTAGAAATAGTCTAATCAGTTTCATTCCATTAACTATTTTCTGATTATTATAGCTGGGTAATGTGATAGCTGGCTCTCACAATTAAGGGATGACTATTATGTGTATGTAAGGGAAGTTTTATTGATGTATAGTTATGTTATTGTGATCTGTTGTTTAGACATCTGTTCTCCCCATATTCCCCTTTTTCTCCCGGTACTGTTGCCTAGGAATGGCCTCGCTAGCTGGGACAAGTGGAAGGAGGGCGTGTACCTGTGCCCCCTGCAAGGGGCATTTGGGAGTAGGGAAAGCTTATTACCAGGAGGTGTGGCATGACAACACCTGACCTCCAATCAAGTGCAAGAAAGTGATCTCTACCAATAAATGGCAAAGAAGAGCTAACTGACAGACTTTAAGAGGGGACAGGGTTGCCTAACGCAACCCTAGGGGTGTAAAACGCGAAGCAGCCGTTTTGTAGACCAGCTTGTGGCTGCTGGGTCACCTACTCCCAGTGCACTGCCCTTTCTCCTTATTCATTCATTAGTTATATTTTGTTAAGGCTTTACTAAACCTTTGAAATTTTTAGAAGTGAGGAGTCATTTCTCATACTGATGATCAAGATACTAAAGATATAGTATCTTGATCAGATATAGTATCTGGACTTGATACTCAAAGATGGCTAATGCAAAGCATTTTCACAGATATTAAAATGACAATTGTTCTTTAGATCAAATATCTATGTTCTCAGTACATAAATTTCCTTTTCACTTCTCTCTGCATGTGAAATTAACATGAAGAATAGATGTCAGCTTTAACATAGGTCTCGTTGAAATTTTAGGACTTTAAATTTTGTGAAAGATGCATGATGTCTATTTTTCTTAAAGGAAAAAATAGTAAATCCCCACCAACCTGGCAACCCAGCTAATGATGAATTCTGCCGTAAATACTGATTTGCTAAAGCTGAAATCTTGAAAGGCCAGTAAAAGTGCCATTTTTTCATTGCAATAGGCTTTAAGAAAAAAAAAAATCACCTCAGCAGGTAAGTATTTGTGTTCACTATCCTGTGAATGTCAAGCCTTGAGAAGATTACTATTCTATTAAGTACTGAGTCATTGCCCAGTGATTGTTTATCTCCACATCATGAAGCACTATTCAGAATGAAAGCATTTCACACTGGACTAAAAAGTCTGGCCCAGGCAGCTGTTCCACAGAGCAACATTAAAGGGCCAAAAACCCCTGCTTCTCACCAGTATTGCCACTGAGTGCCACTGAAGACAACCACTCAATGGCCGAAAGAAAAAATATATCTCACAAGAAACAAAGCCACCTTCCACTACCAAAAGATTTTTTCAGAACCCACCACTACAGTCTCTTCACTATCCTCTGTCATTGAAATTAGGATTTATGTCTGCTTGGTGCTTAAACCCAGAAATCTCAAATCTTAAATCTCAAGCATGGAGATTTGTCCCTTCGTAAAAAAAAAAAAAAATCTTCCTAAGAGCTTTATTTATAACATTACTGTTCAGGGACAAACTCTTGAACTCTCTCTAGCTTCCTTCCTCTCTTCACCCCCAGCCCTCTTTTCGCATCACCTATAGCAGTATAGGCAGACCACTCCAGAAAATGAGACAATTTTTGACAAAACATCATCTTAAGAACAGAGAGTCTACAAGACATGATTAAATTGAGACTGTGAAGCTATTAAGACAACAAAGTAATTACCTGGATGTAGTATTATTGCATATATAATTATACTTACAAATTTCCATTTTATCAAAACAGAAGCAAATGCACTTCAATTTATCTCTTAACATAATTAATTTTACAATAAAGGGGCAATTGGTTTGTTTTTTGGTTTTTTTTTTATATAAAGAAGCTTCTAACAGCAGTTCACAGCTTCTTTTTAATAATTTAAGCCCAGATTAACAATCCTTGGTACATAATACTGACCAAACTTCTAAAAACAACCAGTGAAATAGTACTTTTCACGCCATATTGACAAAAATCTAGCACTGACCACACTGACACAAATTCGAGTGCGAAACATTTTAAGAAGGGTTACCTCAGATTCATCTGTTGATTCCTCATAAGACCTGGTTTCCTGAAAAGGACACAAAAAACAAAGGGATAAATAGCTAAGTACACACATAACTGAGCAGTATTTCCCTTTAAGAAGTGCTTTTAAACCCTTACTAAGAAATGAAAGACAAAGAAGAAACAACTCAAAGTTCAGAGTTTCCATCCTTATCCTGCATACTTGATTTGTGCTTGCACTTGCATTTGAGTGTCACAGTGACACTTGGGAGCAGCAGGGACTCTGTTGTCAGCTACCCTAAAAGGGAGAGTGACTGGGAGATCAGAGAATCTGTCCCTGTGATTATCTTCCCCTCTTCTGGAAGCAGTAGCAAATTTTGCAAAGAAACTGCCCATATCTTGACTTCCATGTGAGAACAGCATTCTCAAGTTATCCACAAGCCAGCTTTGCTATTCAACTATTCAGCTGTTTATAGGCTTATTTTAAACTTAAATAATTTCAAACCATTTTCCATAGAAATCCAGCATTCAATGACTTTCTCCTTCCCATCTGATGTTAATTCAAGATGTGGCTTTCTCCTGCCTTTGAAACAACTGTACCTTTAAAACATCTCTCTGGCAAGATGATTCTTTCTACCCTAGAAAAAAAATTGTTTAAGTCAACTCCTGCTCATCTCTTGTCCGCCCACTGAGAAAATCTGCTGATGCAATGCTTCCTCAAAGAAGTCAGCAAAACGAAGATTTACTTAACGCATTTATCTTTATCAATAGCAATAAAGGATTACAACTAATACACCAGCAGTGAATGTAAGCATTTTAACAATAAAATATGATATAAACAAAGAACAAGCAAGAGAGAAAGCAGCATTTCAAATCTTATGAAGGGAGTCTTTGAAAAGTAAGATTAATAGGTACGCAATTCCACCCAACAAGACAAAAATAAATACACCCGTACCAACAGCTTAGAGAAAAATTGAAAAGGGAGAAAATTTAATGCACTGACAACCAGTGTAATTTTTTGTTTATCACATTTATTTTTTTCCTTTGTTTATATAATGCACTGATTGTGACCTGTACACCAAAAGCAAAGGCTTCCTTTTCATTAGTGAAGACTTGCATTGATGCCCATAATTGATGACCATCACAGCAGATGGCAGAGAAGCAAAGCAGCACTTCTATCTGCTGCTGGAAGCTTCATGCAAGGTGCTACCACAATTACTTTCATCTGTTTTCTCCATTTTACTCACTACAGATAAATACACATCCCATAGAAGGGTTATCAGTGTAGTCTATACTTGTGTCACAAATTGGGAAATTGCAAGTAAAAAGTATAAGGGAATTAAGGGAAGATGGAGTAAAATCCAGGCATCCTCTGAAGTTTAGATTCAACTTTGCAAGCCTAGGTGTTTGTCTGTCAGTCTTCCAATCTCTCTCTCACTATTATAATCTCTCCCGTAACAGATCCAGTGTGACTTCTCAAACTATTCTTAAGTGGGCTTTCTAGTATGATGGGTATAGGGTTTTCTCTTCCCCTGGTTTTACAAACATAAAATGTAACCCACTAGGTTTTGAGGCCCATAACGTGAACCTGACAGAGGGTGAAAGACACAAAACTTGAGTTTTATAGAAACACATGCACAACACACACAGCCTTTCAGTAGAGGTGTGCATGCTACCCACAGGAAATAAACTGAAATGAGCAACTCCTCTATCATAGTCCAAAGAGTGAAAAACACAGGCTAGTTTAATCTATTGTATTGTTAGAGAAGACTTGTCTGAGTTTGTTTCATCCTTCCAAAGGCTGCCACAGTTAAAAACTCGCCAATCCTGGGACAAAGAAATCTCCCACAATGAAGCCAAGCCCTCCCAACAAAACTCTGTCAGCAGGGAAGGTGGAAACCAGATGCCAGTCTCTAACTTTGGCCAGATACCTTGAGGTAATTCTAAGACTCTTTCACTTTTAGGCATCCATGACTGACAAATATTGCACAACTCAGCTGTCTGTTCAAATACTGGTTCAGTAAAGAAGCATTTAGAAAGTACCTAAAAGAGACAGGAGCTGCACTTTTTCCTTTATTTTTTTTTTCCCTTGGGAAAGAGCAACCTAGGGACGGGGAGCTTTAGGAGAACACCCAATTAAGGGTACAGCACCAAAATCCTCAAGTTTTGTCTCAGAAAATAATTCCCTTGTTGAAATGAACTTGGTCATATCTTTCATGTCCCTCGGTAGAGAGACAGCTCTTGGCTCCACAGCGGCGTCAGGCGCACTTCTAAACCCACCCTCCCGGCCAGAGCCGGGTTCCGCTGCCTCCATCTTCCCTCCTCCGCCCCGATGCAGCCAGGCTGTCCCCGCCGGCCCCGCACCCCGCAGGGCTGGCTTGGCCTCTGTCCCGCGGCACGGGCACTGTCCCACTGTGCCACTGTCCCTGCCCTGTGCCCGGCCCCGTCCCGCTCCTCGGCGCTGCGCCACAGCGCAGTGACAGTCTCTACCTTCTCCCCGGCTTCCGCCATGGCGCAGGCGGGCAGCTGTCACGTGAGGGGCAGGAAGCGGCGGGGCGGAGGCACGCTGGGAAATGTAGTTCGGCGGGAAGCGAGCGGCTCCTTCTCCGCCCCGCTCTTTTCCCTCCTCAGCCCGGCTGAGGTGTGCTGGCGATGCCGTGCAAAGCGGAGGGCATACGCAAGGCTGGGCCCAGAGGCACAGCCCAGCCGAGCTTCCTCACCACCCTCCGTAGCCGCGAGAGGCTTTTTTCAACTGAAATCCATCGATTCTCTCAGGGAGACCAGCCTGACCTCCCAGCTCCATGGTACACCCAGCCGTGATGAGACTGAAGGGAGCCACTGCAGTGCTTGATGAGCTGGCGGCTGATTAGCGAGGGCTCGGATGTAGCTGAAGCCAAGAGCCATGGGTAGCCTGCCTGCTGCCACTGTTGTTACAGCAATGCCGGTGCTCCTAGACCAGACCCTTTTTTTGTCATCCATCAGAGTAGCACCTGCTCGAGCGCAGCTCTGGTTGCGATTGTATCCTTCGGTTTCCATTAGATCCTACATGTAGCAGCTTTGGTCCTCTTTGTACTTTTTACTTAATCATCAGTATTGAAATGGCTCACACTAGTGTCAGGAGAAGGATTTCAGAAAGCCTAAATGTATTCTACAATTCTAGAAGCCGCTGCATATTGATTTTTAAAAGCATAAAATTAGACTTGAATGTCTTGCTTGCACGCAAGTTGCTTTTTTTATGTGTTAAAAACATAATCAAAACTAAAAAGCAATAGGCAGAACTTTTTATAGTTTGTGTTTTGCCTTTGGAGCTATTTAATATCTAAGGTGGAGCTACAGTGTTATGTGTCCTTCAGTCCAAAAACATGAATTAAAAAATGTGCAGTTTACCTTTGGCAATGAAAGAGAAATCTTATAATACCACACTGCAAAACCTTAAGGTCATACAGTTAATTGCAAGAGAGCATCACCTTGGCTATGAAAATAATGTGTTATCATTGCTATACCTTTAGAAAGTAATTCCCAGAATTTTGACTGAGAAGAGCTAGAACTGTCCTTTAAAATCACACTGAAAGTGGTACACAGGGTTGAGAGAGAGCTATCAAAGTTACAGTTTCAGAGCAAGAACATATGAAAATAGCTAACCTGAATAAATTTAATTTGAAAATTATAAAAGAAAGTATATTTTTTATGTTTTGTTATGGACTGTCAAAGTGCCATGGCGAAGAAATGTGTACATATCATCCAGGCCATATAAGCCACAGGATATCTACAGAGAAATAGATGTTTGGTTGGCATTGGACAAAATATTGTCGAGACCACACCTCCTTGTAAATTTGGAGTCACCTTTGTTACAAAAAAATTTATTGAAACTGGAAAGCACCAAAGGACCACTTTTAGGGTCTGATCTGTTGGAGAGGAGTGATAAAAGCAAGGGCTTAGCAACTTCTGTCTAGCAATAAGAGAGATCTGAAGAAGAACTATTAAAGTAAGAGATCAAATCAGTATCAGCTATTTTCAGTGCATTTAGGCTGGAAATGAGAAATAGATTCCCACACGTCAGACATGCATGGTCCTCAGAAGAATTTTGCTGGCAAGAAATTTAACTGATTTCAAGATGAAACTTAATAAGCTTAAATAAGAGACTGTAAGAGGTGTTTGCTCACAGCAGTGTGGCTTACCCAGAATACTGCTCATTATAGGTCCATTCAGTCCTTCTTGAACCTTAGTTCTGTTCAGATCAAGTGAAAAAATATATTATTACTGTCAATGGAGCCAGGATATGTCCTTTAATATGTAAAGCACAAGCTATATTTTCTGTTACTTGAAGCTCTGTATATCTTGTAAAAGAAAATTCTTCCACTGAAGTTTTTCCTCTACTTTTAGGGAAAAAAACCCAAATAGAGATTTTGGGCTGCAGGATTTGTTTTCATCAGCAAGTATTTTGTGGCTCTTTTTTAACTGGAAAGAACATTAGTAACTGACTTTTTACTTGCCAAGAAAAACAGAATGTAAGGGAAAGGATGGCAGATTTGTAAACATTGCTATTATAACAGCTAAAGGTGCACATTTGCTCATTTTTCACAAACTGAACCATCAAGGAAACAACTGTTCTTGTTTTCATTGCACACAGAGTAAGTAGTATAAACAATGCGGTTTACTTATAGTGTGTTGCTTATTTCAGGCAGAATGGTGCAAAACTAATTCTTTTGTTGATTTGACTTATGGTATGAATTCAATCTGCCATGATTATAGGTTTTTATTGTGTCAGGAAAATTTAACATATTTGCATCTGATTCTGCCACCCCTTCCACATCTGCCCTCCAGAAGAGCTGAAAGTTATGGAGAAGCAATGCCACCAATAGATTTTAAAATCTTTCAGCTCCTCCCACAAAGTACTCAGCATCCTTCAGATTTGGGCCTGAGAACAGTCAACCTTTGGAGATAAAAAGCTTAAGCATAGTTCAGCAAAAGTGGGAAATATAGCATTGCCTAAGAGAAGTAAATGTTCTGTCCTGATCTTCAAACCTACTCTCATTCTGTCTGCCAGTGCATAGAACTGAAGTCTGGGT